CAATAGACGTGCTTCCTGGTACCCAGCACAGATGAGTTACCTGAAACAGGACAGCACATGCTCATATTCAGGGACTATTAACACATACACTAGAATGTTAGAAGTCAATTTCTGAAGACAGCCTTTCTAACCAGGTTACGTGAGATGGTGTTTTTCTGCAGACATTCTCCGGACTCAATGTCCCAGAGGCGCATGGAGTTATCACGAGAGCCCGTGCACAGCTTTGAGCCATCTACAAAATGAATAAAACCACATTACTGGAAGGCGTTCGAGATTTTGTGGTCATAGCATGTTATTGTTTGAGGGTTTGTTCACCTGGACCTACCGCTACCCCGTTAACTACGAGCTCATTGCCACAAAACTCCTGGACGGGTTCAGTATCTCGACCCAAATCCCACATCAGCACCGTCTTATCACGGGACGCACTGAAGATCAAGGAACTTCCTTTAAAACAGCATAACTAAAGGAAACCAGAGAGATTTAAATACACACAGTACATAAAACACACTTATTCATTGAGGCATCTCTATGTTTACGAAATAATTAAGCAATATTTGTTTTATTCATTTTTTTCTCCACTAATGAAAATTGTTCCAAAATAAATCCAAGCTTTGCCTTTACCTTTGTAATCTCTCTGCTGTGGCCCTGGAATGATTTGCACTGTTTTCCAGCTCTCCAGTCATAGACAACAACAGCCTGACCAAAAAACAGTGACACAAATCATATTAAAATGCACATAATGTCAATCAATGAAAAATATATTATATATTATAACTATCATTGCCTGTTGATTTAAAGCCTTAAATGTGGAATGTGGAATTTCTGTGCCAATAGTGGCAACAATCTGAAATACAAAATTAACTAGATTTTTACATGCTTCTTAATGTTACACAAGCATTGCTATGCAATTGCTAAGATGTTCAAAGTGGTTTTAGCATGTGCTGTTGCTATGGGTTTCTTTAAAAAAAAAAAAAGAAAGAAAGAACAAAAAAATGTACTGACCCCCAAACTTTTAAATAGTAGTGTATATTGTAACACAAAATTTTGAATAAACACTGTTCTTTTGAACTTTTGATTTATCAAAAAATCCTGAAAAAAGTATCACAGGTCCCAAAAAAATATTAAGCAGCACAACAGTTTCAACACTGATAATAAATCAGCATATTATTATGATTTCTGAAGGATCATGTGACACTGAAGACTGGAGTAATGATGCTGAAAATTCAACTTTGCATCCCAGAAATAAATTACATTTTAAAGTATTTTAAAATAGAGAAACTTTATTTTAAATTTCGATAACATTTCACAAAATTATTATTTTTTTTGTATTTTTGATCAAATAAATGCAGCCTTGATGAGCATAAGAAACTACTTTAAAAACATTAAAAATCTTACTGATCCCAAACATTTGAACAGCAGTGTATACGTTTTGTTTTAATTTTAGAACTTCAACTTAAACTTGACATTTTTCAACTAACATTTATACATTACTTATTGAATTAGTCTGTATTTTCATATTTTAAGTTTTTCATTTCATAATTTTAGTTTACATTTTAGTAGTTAGATATGCTTTGTAATTTTTGTTACTTTGTTTATATACTGTATACACACACACACACACATTTCTATTCCTATTTCTATTGTTTCAGTTTTAATTTTAGCACTTCAGCTTAAACTCATTTGAGTTAAGGAAACAATTTCCAATTTTCATTGTTTTTCATCAAGTTTTTCAACTAACATTTATACTTTATTTTAACTAACAAAAATGACTTTAGATAGTTTTAGTTAACCCTTTGACATCCAACACTCCCAACACTAAATTAATCTCCAAACCTCCCTCCTATTCAATGCTTCTCTAGCTCACCTGGTCATGCCCTCCTGACACACACAGGTCAGAGGTCAGGCTGACGACACAGTTGACGGCATCTGTGTGAGCGGGTTCATACTGCACTACCTGGTCACCTGAATGTTTCGCTGCACAGTTTTCTAACTTTACTGGGTAACACCAATTTCTTTAAAGAAAAACAAATGATAAAATGCTGTGCAATGCCACAATTCAATCAGCTTTACCCACTTTATGAATGAGTTTTTATGAATTTATGAACACAGTAACCAAGGTGGGTAGAGCTCAGCAAAGGGTCAATCATTTTTGCAATTCCATTAATTCCACACTTAACCCTTTGACATCCAACACTCCCAACACTAAATTAATCTCCAAACCTCCCTCCTATTCAATGCTTCTCTAGCTCACCTGGTCATGCCCTCCTGACACACACAGGTCAGAGGTCAGGCTGACGACACAGTTGACGGCATCTGTGTGAGCGGGTTCATACTGCACTACCTGGTGCACAGGTGCAAGCTCCGGCCCCTCTTTGGCCCTGTCAACAATACAGCCTCAATAATCACAAATCCACCACAACCAAAACATCATTACTCATCATATCTCACTTGTAAAGGTCCGAGCGCCGCCGAAACTTGCTCTGTAGTTTCCCCATGCCTGTATGGGCGTCTAATCACCTGATATCAGGAGGTCTCACTCATCTCTCCACAGCACAGGCCATCTTCAAACTCTTTTGGGATCTGTAAGAATTACACAGTTGATGAAGACGTCAAGTCCCTGGCAACCTCACAAGGGAGCTATTACCTGCCAAGAACAGATGCTGATGTTGTGTCTCTAGCATAAGCTGGTAATCAGTTATGTATCGGGTTCAGTTATGTATGGACACAGCTTGCTTCTGAGAGCTCCAGGAAGACAGGGAGGGCGACCTGAATCCTATTAAGTGCATTAGTGCCTCATCGCATTAGGTAACAAGATGCAATATGGCAATATTTGGCCAAACCAATATCTCCATCACCTGCAATAAACCTTCAGATATGAAAAAGCTATTCAGAGAGAGAGAGAGAGACAGAGAGAGAGAGAGAGTACCGGTGCAGAAGGCATTGCTCTGTTGAAAGTAAATCAGCAAGAACTGCACGACAAGCATGCAGCATCGCTTTTAATCCATGCATCTGCTATTAAACTACACGATACACTTCTAGACGCGCATTAAATGCACCAAAACAAAACTTACCGTCCCAAGCCTTAAGACGCTTAGCCGGATATCGCTGTCAGTGTGATTGTGAAGGGCTCGCATGTGTGCGTGTTATGGCGGAGCTTGTTGAAAGTACGTGAACGAAGGATTTATCGCGCATCGTGATCCGTTTCGGCGGTAAATCTTCCGCGACTCCTCGAGTTCATCTTCTCCACGAGAGACGCTTTCGCTGTTACCAGGCGCACGGAGGTCACGTGAGCGCACAGGAGGCGGGGCGTCAGGTCACATGGATTTTCTAAACAAAAGGACCACTTGATAAATTTAGCAAAGCAAACAAAAATAAACAGTAAACACAACTAAATTAAGCTAAACAAATTAAATTAAATTATATCATTAAAATCCAAATTATTTACATTTGTACAGATATACATCAGTTTATGCATAGGTTAATAATAATCGAATAGGAACATCTTAATCTTACATCAAAAATAAGTCAAATAACTTGTCTATTCCATCAATTATTTATTTTTTTAGAAATGAGAAATTAAATAATCAATTTAATTTAATAGAAATGAAAGAATCAAAATTCTTTAAGGCCGTGGAAAATAGTGTAATATTCAAATTAAGCTAAAGAAATTATGCTCTGAATGGGAAAAATGTGTTTAGGGACAAAATATATATAAATGTCGCGGTAAAATTGTAATCATGTGCCTTCTGTTCAGGAAGAATTACCGTAATAACTTAAAAATAAAACCAAAACAAATCAAAATAAACAAAAACTCCCATATCTGCACGGTGCAATATGTTGTGCATTGTAATTTAAGTTTTTAAATATAGGCCATTTATGTCAAGTCAAGTCAAGTCACCTTTATTTATATAGCGCTTTTAACAATACAGATGTGTCAAAGCAACTGAACAGCATTAATTAGGAAAATAGTGTCAATAATGCAAAATGACAATAGTAAACATAAATTTTTCAGTTAAAGACAGTTCATCATTGAATTCAGTTATGTCCATACACTCTAAAAAATGCTGGGTTAAATATAACCCAGCGCTGGGTTATATTTAACCCAGCATTTTTTAGAGTGTACTAGTACCAAGTAAAACTGCATTTAACAATGTCTTGACAATTTTACGTCAATCCTTAAAGCAAAGTGGAGTTAAGCATTGAACTAACTCTCTAGATTAATATATTGCAATATATCTTAATTAACCCCCTTAACTAATTTAACTTACTTTAATTAACATAATTGTATAATTTGCTTGTTTGTATAGTTAGTAATACAAATAATTATATTATATTATATTATATTATATTATGTTATATTATGATTATTTGTAGTAGTAGTATTTTCCTGTCAATGCTGCTTGAAACTATTATGGCTAATAATTAAGTTTTTTTTTTTAAGTTAATACTAAAATGTTGTTTTCTAGACTCATTTCTCTTTGAAGATCTGCCCTCTTGTGGTCAATGAAGGCATGGCTACTCTCACTGAACAGTTCATATCTAAACTAGGCCAGTGGTTAGGCATTACAGAACATCTGAGTTTGGTGAAGCAACACAAGATTTCCTTCTGTCTCAAGCATTTGAGATAATCATCGATATAGCAGAAGCCTACCGTTCACCATACTTTAGACTTTAAATGTGCATTTTTTTTTCATAAAATGATGATACTGGTGTGGTCAGAGACTTCCAAACTGGTCGAGTTTCCTATGAACCAGAAAGAGGCTTATGGGCTCTGCAGGTCACATGACTGAAACAGCAACAATGTGCTCTTTGTGATCAAAGGCCAAACAACACAATGCTTGATATAGCTGAATAAATATTTCTACTCACAAAGAACAGCCAACTAGCATTAAGTATTTCATTAGTCATCATTATAAATAACTGTTAGAGGACAATTCAGCCGTAATCACAACATTTTATATGCACAATTCAGAATTTGTGCCTAAGGTAACTGTAAAGTGGTGGTCAACTGGAGCTTATGATTACACTAATGACTGCACACAGACCTACCGCCCTTCAAAGTTAATCTTTGTAGTGAGACCTAGAAAGCACGATGGAATAACTCAGTTATCACTCGGAACTTTAAATGTTGCTCTAAATGAATTAACTTAAAATGAATGGCCAAGAAGAGTCTCCGACTTTGAGAAGAAAGGTAAGCTTTCATTTGACTTTTGAATTTACGGTCCACAACAAAGGCTGTCCACAGCATTATCCACAGGACTGAACATGGAAAAGCAATTGACATGTATGTGTTAAAAGACAAACATTTCCTAAAGACACCCTACAGAGCTTCTCTAAAGGGAATTTCATCCTGAATTAACTCTGAACCCATGCAGTTTTCACTGCTCATGCTATGAACACCAGCATGATTGTATTTCAGCTGGTATATCTGTTATGCACCTTATCTAGAGCACTAAGAGCAGTTCTGTCCTAGGATGAGTTTGCATTTCAGAGACAGTCTGAATCCGTGATTAAGAGGCGTTTGGAATATTAAGTAAAAATGTTCAAATATTTTCAACGAGTTTCAAAAATGGGCAAAGACAGTGGAGAGCTTAAGGAATATCAACCTTTACTTAAAGACTTCAAAGAACCAGCTCAACAAATAAAGGTATGATAAAATAAAATAAATTATTATTTTTAATTAAATATATTTTTAAAAATACTATTAATTATTATTATTGTTACCAAATTATTTAATTGATTTTTATTCTTTTTTCAAATATATTTAACTTTTTTTTTTAAATTAAAATATTTATTACTAGTAGGTTATAATGTACTCTTCAGCATAGCAATAATGAACAGTGATGGATAGAACATGAAGTTGACTGTAATATTCATGCTCTATTTTCGAAGTCTTGCATACATTATTTTTTGTACTTTATATTTGCATGTATATTACATATTTTCACAACTCTTCACCGTTCTGTTGTTACCCTCCTTTTAATACTCTACTCTTAGATACTCTAAATATTAGCTGTTAACGATGAGCTGAAATCAGAATCACTTTCGAACATGCCTTTTGTACTCTGTTAACTGCAGGTTCCCAGTAAGTCTCTTCTTCTGGCTGTCTGGGCAGCTGGCATCGGTGGAACGTTTCAATATGGGTACAATATATCTATCATAAACGCACCTACCAAGGTAAGAACTTTGTGCATTAACGTGATTATTCTCATCACTTAAGCCCGCTTGTGTTTACATCTACAGCAGACTTTATGGAACATGCATTAGTCACATGGAGTTCAGTACAGCATGCATGTGTGTGATGCATGAGTTATTATTGCAGTAGCTCATCAGACTAAAAGTCACATGAAATTTGTAGTAAATATATCACATGGATTTGGATTCTGGTTCCTTGCACATTTTTTAATTTTGAATGTGACAAAAAGTACTGAATCCAAAAACCACATCTGTGACCCTGGACCACAAAAGCAGTCTTAAGTGTCAATTTTTCGAAATTGAGATTTATACATCATCTGAAAGCTGAATAAATAAGCTTTGTTAGGATAGGACAATATTTGGCCGAGATACAACTATTTGAATATCAGGAATCTGAGGGTGCAAAAAAATCTAAATATTGAGAAAATCGCCTTTAAAGTTGTTCAAATGAAGTTCTTAGCAATGCATATTACTAATCAAAAATTAAGTTTTAATATATTTACGGTAGGAAATTTACAAAATATCTTCATGGAACATGATCTTTACTTAATATCCTAATGATTTCTGTCAGGACCACTATCGTCAAAGATGATTGACAATTTGCATACAGTTTGGATTGGCGGTATGGTTCTGTTCTGGGCAAGAACTCCCTGCGCATCCATGCAGCCTAGCATGGATGAGAGCAGGGAGAGCAGCGATAACCCCCCAGGGTAAACAGAACAGAACCAACATAAATGTAGTGCAGATATCGTTAAAGTTCAATAATGTCATGTACACATTTTAGAATTAGTCTGATTCAAAGGAGAATCAAAAGGCTGAATCCTGACTGACAGAGGAGGAGCTGGGGATGGAGGAGGGTAATTAGCTATTGAGCAATGGGGGGACCTTATATATGAATGCTTAGATAGGTGTCGTATTCCCATAGGTTGCTGGGGATCAGCTGAGAGTCAGCTGATGCGAGCTTGACTAACGTGACCTGCCAGAACTAACGCTATTCTAGATTTTTGGCATAAAAGAAAAATCTATTATTTTGACCCATACAATGTATTTTTGGCTATTGCTACAAATATACCCCAGCGACTTAAGACCAGGGTTTTGTGGTCCAGGGTCACATTTGGATTTTTTTTTTTTTTTGTGTATACAGGCAAGACTAATTTTAACTACTGTAAGAGGTATCACTAATACATTAAGACAATTGTTTTGCATCACAATTTGTCTGAAATGTTAATACTTTAAAGTCTGTCTACAGATGCAAATAGATAAGACAAACACTAAATGTGTATTTTGGATGTTTTCTTTCCAGTAGTCAACATTATGCATGCAAAACAACAGGCCAAAATCTTAAAACTGACCAGTGCATGAAAAAAACACACTGGTTTGTCTGGTAGTGTCTGTTTTGCCTTATTTGTTAACCTAGGTTAACCATGTTTCTCAATCTTCATGCTTTATCTTAGATTAGTAACTGACCTACTAAGAATTGTTTACTTCTGTGGAATGTAAAAGAAGATAATTTGTGTCTCAGTGTTCTATTTTTGTTAATGTTCCAATTGTTCATCAAGTTAAAGCGCCCGTTCCTTTAATGCCAGGCAGTATTTATTGTCTTGTGTGTTTCCTCTCAGGCTGTACAGAACTTCATTAATCAGACATGGACTGAGCGCTACAACACTGAAATCTCCACCCAGGTGCTCACACTCCTCTGGTCCACCATAGTGTCCGTATTCACTCTCGGTGGACTTGTGGGAGCGTCTGTGGGGGGAACTCTGGCCATTAGATTTGGAAGGTGAATTCCAGCCAAAAATATTGTACAGAACATATTTGAATGACGTGAGCAAATGTGCAAGACTGGGTGGGAGGGGTCAAATGGGAAGTTTTTAGGGACGTTACAGCCCTGTTTAAATGAATTTCTAATTCTTTTTTTTTTGTTCAGGAAAGGGACACTACTGTTCAACAACGCCTTTGCTCTGTTGGCTGCTTTCTTCATGGGCTTGAGTTATCCCTCCAGCACTTTTGAGCTTTTAATCGTTGGACGCTTCCTGACGGGAGTAAACGCAGGTAGTTTTCAAGCACATAAAGTAGTGATGGTTGATCAGTTTTGTATTAGTATTCAATAAACATTGCAGAAATATTCAAAAGTTTGGGGTCAGTAAGATTTTTTTTTTTTTGTAAGAAATTAGTTCATTTTATTCAGCAAGAATGCTTTAAAGTGATTTAATTTTTTCTATTATATTAATAGAATTATTCTATTATTCTGTTTCAGATTTGAACTTTCTACTCACTATTCTATTCAAAGAATCCTGAAAAAAAAATGCATCACAGTTTCCACAATAAAAGCACTGTCTTCAACTGTCTTCAGCATTAATAATAATGAATAATAAGAAATGTTTCTTGAGCAGCAAGTTAGCATATATGATATATTAGAATGATTTCTGAAGGATCATGTGACTGAAGACTGGAGTAATGATGCTGAAAATTCAGCTTTGCATCACAGGAAAAACGCATTAAAATAGAAGACAGCTATTTGAAATTGTAATACTATTTCACAATATTACAGTTTTACTGTATTTTAACCAAATAAATGCAGCCTTGTTGAATGTAATCTAGATAAACACACACCTTGTCCTCTGTTTCTCGCTCTGCGCTGCTGCAGTCTGCGGATTGAAAAAGAACGCGCTGAAAGAGTCTGCCGCCATTTTCATATGAAATTTAAAGGGGACTGAGGCGATCACGAATTGGTGTACAGTTTATGGAACTAATTGCAAAATTTTAGGGGGGCTGAGTAGTCATTTTAGGGGGGCTATAGCCCCCCAAAAATGGCCTAGCGACGCCCATGAAAACCAGCATTAATGTCTTACTACAATCTATGTTAAAAATGCCTATATTTAATATTTCGTGAAACATGAAGTTCAAAAGAACATCATATACGAGATGTAATCTTTTGTAACACTATAAATGTCTTTCCTGTCACTTGATTCATTTAATGCATCCTTGCCGAGTAAAAAATATCAATTTATTTTAAAGAAAATCTTACTAAATAAGTACACAAACTAAATCGAGTTGGAAACATACAAATTTATGCATTAAGGCTATTTTAAATGGGTCCTATTATGCTTTTTCACTTTTTCAACTTTAGTTAGTCTGTAATGTTATAGAATTATTCTATTATTCTGTTTCAGATTTGAACTTTCTACTCACTATTCTATTCAAAGAATCCTGAAAAAAAAATGCATCACAGTTTCCACAATAAAAGCACTGTCTTCAACTGTCTTCAGCATTAATAATAATGAATAATAAGAAATGTTTCTTGAGCAGCAAGTTAGCATATATGATATATTAGAATGATTTCTGAAGGATCATGTGACTGAAGACTGGAGTAATGATGCTGAAAATTCAGCTTTGCATCACAGGAAAAACGCATTAAAATAGAAGACAGCTATTTGAAATTGTAATACTATTTCACAATATTACAGTTTTACTGTATTTTAACCAAATAAATGCAGCCTTGTTGAATGTAACAGACTTCTTTCAAAAAGTTGTAAAGAAATGACCAACCCCAAACTTTTGAATGGTAGTGATATTAAACATAATACAGCAAGGTATAAAACTACTCTTGAGGTATAAAAAGGAATAAAAATAAGGTCAATATATATAAACATCTAAAACAAAGGTACAAAAAGCACATATATTTAAACTAATAATTTACCATGCTAACAAATACTGAATTTTTGAATTTGTTACATTTTTTCTAATATTATCAATGCACAATCTTGCTTCACTCTGTTAAACCTTAAAATATTTTTTTTTAAATATAAAATTTAGTCTTAATTATAATTTTTTTTTAAATAATTTTTTGGATAATCAGTGAAGTAAAGAAAACATTCCCACAAAAGCAAAAAAACAAATAAATGTAAAGTAGTTTCATGGTAGTTACTGCGTTTTTGAATTTCTGTAATGGATAGAATTTGTTGGTGCCTTTATGATAAATTGCATGTGCTTTTCCTCAGTTGTATGTATCTGCTAAATGAGCAAACATAAATGAGAAGCCTTCTGAATTGTTACACACATTATGAGTGTATGTTTGTGATCCCATAACTGACATCTTATTTCTAATGACAGGTATCGCAATATGTGTGCAGCCCCTGTATATTGGTGAGATCGCACCTAGAGCTCTGCGTGGTGCCATGGCGATGGGAACTTCCATTTTCATCACCGGAGGGATCCTCACAGGACAAGTGATTGGCCTCAAGTAAGAAAAAAGGCAGTCATTCTCCATATAAAGAATATGAGGAGGGACCAAACTTGTTCAAGCTCAACACAGTGAAAAGCTTGTAGAATAAAATAGATTCCTCTTATGGCATGTCTGATGACAATTATAAAGATGTCAATAAAGATGTTAAGACTCATGTTTTGTGTGTGTGTCAGTGAGTTGTTAGGTAAGGAGGAGTACTGGCCCATCCTCTTGTCCACCGTCTGTATTCCAGCCATAATGCAGCTGCTGACTTTTCCCTGGTTCCCCGAGAGCCCTCGCTACCTGCTCATCGACCGCGGAGATGACGACGCCTGCAAAAAGGGTACAGGATGGTTTTATAACTATGTTGCACAATATTGTTAAAGAAATTATTTGTTGTAAGGCTAGTGGGATGTGGTTGGATAATACCCATTTTTAAAGGTAATGATAAAACTTAGAGTTTGAATGTCCTGAATCCTATTTGTCTCTCTGCTGTCCTTAAAATGTAATTTAATTTAATTTAATTTAATTTAATTTAATTTAATTTAATTTAATTTAATTTAATTTAATTTAATTTAATTTAATTTAATTTAATTTAATTTAATTTAATTTAATTTAATTTAATTTAATTTAATTTAATTTAATTTAATTTAATTTAATTTAATTTAATTTAATTTAATTTAATTTAATTTAATTTAATTTAATTTAATTTAATTTAAAAAATCAAGACTTTGTAAAAGAGCATAATAGGACCCCTTTAATTTTACTGTTAAAGTTATGTGATGAATTTAATAGTCTACGGAAAACAGCAGATTCAAATATCAACTGTCCATGTGAAATTTCTGCACAGTTTCTACAAACTTTTCCAATATGCTTCATGTGATAATTCAGAAATTGAACAAAAAAATTTATTTATATTTTAATAAATAAATCGATGAAGATAAAATAATTAATCAACAACCCAGGTAAACAAACCTCCATGAAAATTACAAAAAAAGTTAATTGTTTCCTGCTTGTTTTTCTAGCAAGTATAAGGTCACGAGTCACATTTAAACTCATGATTCCATTGAAAGAAAGATGGTGTTGTCATCTCAGCTGCATATAACCACAAAATCAGAATGTTTAAAGACTGAAGTGTAAAATCTCATTGAAATGATCACACTTGAACGGATGTCATGATGTGAGCACCCTGTAGGGAGCTAAATCCAACCCGTTGAGCCGTAACCAACAACAGAAGCGAGGAGAAGAGAATCTCGTGAGTAAAGGAATGTTATGCCCTTTGCCACTTTCTTTCAGCTCTAATGTGGTTCCATGGCCCGGATAAGTACCACGGAGAAAAGGAGGACATAGAGAGAGAGAGAGTCAGCGCTGTTGGTATTAAACCCAAAAAGCCCTGGGAGCTTTTTACGGACACTAGTCTTCGCTGGCAGCTCTTGACCCTCGTCGTTTTATTTTATTTTATTATTTTATTTTATTTTATTTTATTTTATAAAATATAAATATAAAATAATAATAATAAATTTATAGGTCAGTTAAAATACACTATCCTTCAAACATTTGGGGTTAGCAAGAATTTTGAATTTTCTCATATGTCTCATATGCTCACCCAGACTCCATTTATTTGATCAAAATTACATTGTAAAATATTATTACAATTTAAAATAACTGTTTTGTACTTGAATATATTTTGAAATGTAATGTATTCCCGTGACACAAAGCTGAATTTTCAGCATCATTACTCCAGTCTTCAGTGTCCGGAGAAAAGGAGGACATAGAGAGAGAGAGAGTCAGCGCTGTTGGTATTAAACCCAAAAAGCCCTGGGAGCTTTTTACGGACACTAGTCTTCGCTGGCAGCTCTTGACCCTCGTCGTGATCCACACGTCCCAGCAACTCAACGGCATTAATGCGGTGTGTATCTCACCCAGACAGCAGGAAACAACAACATCACATCAGTGGCTTGGATTATCCTTGACTGCGGATGTGTGCACTATTAAAACCAAAAAAACACCCCCTCCCTTCAAAATGGGATGTGATCGGCCTGCTGTGGTTTAAAACCTGATCTTTTCTCAGAGAAAATGATTATTAAAGAAAAAAGAAAAAACATGGAATCGTTCAGATTTTAGCTTTGTGGCTGTGACATTAACTTGAGCTCCTATAATGGGCATGAAAGTGATTTTGCACACATGCTTAAAAGCTTTTATGGAGTGTCATGTGAGATAACATTGTAGAACTGCAAAGCCAATGGTGAACCATGTACAGTAGGCGCAAACATTATTTAGACACTTTAGTCCTAACAAACAGATAATGAATGTCATTGCATTAAATAAAACATCAAACCATTGGATAGGCCAAACGTACATTTCTGAAAATTGTTTGTTATAATTTGGTGCTTAAATTAGATTTAAACTTTAGTTTATATCAAAGCGCTTTTCCACCATCGTCGAAGTTTAATTCTCACACAGTATGATTAAACTGTTCCCAACTTGGCTGATATACATAATATTTAAATATATTACGCATATTTTCTTCGTAGATAGTCTGGGAACGTTTAACTTTCTATTCGATGTAACTTTATCCTCCATAGTGTTCACTACAAGGGTTACCAGTGTCAACTACGTCGCCCATTCTTGCGTCACCAAGGTTACGTACGTACGTTCTAGGTTCTAAACTGTAACTGTACCGTAAAATGTAGTGATTTAAGTGTATTCGTGCACATATTTTTTTTGCCGAAGATATTACACCGAAATGTTGCTAATGTGACCGCACCTAAGAAAAAGTTTTAAAACGTCGTGTTTGCAATTGTTTTTGCTAAAAAGTGACTACTTCTGAAAACTCGTCATTATTTCCAGTTCATGTTGTCCGCACCCTTTTTATTTTTTGTTACTGTTATTTGTTAGCCTACTATCTATAGCCAGTAGCTATTGAAAGAAAGAAATAAAGAAAGAAAGAAATTTATATATATTTATTTATTACAATTTTTGGTTTGACATGGTACCCTACAGTTTTGCAAAGAGAACCATTCGGTCCAATGATGGTCTTTGTGTTAAGTTTTATTGACACTGTGCAAATGTTACACAAATTTCTGATCTAATGTACACCAATGCCAATATATGAAGAGTTCATTTGCAAAAACAGATAACTCCGTTTTTAACAATTTTCAAAAATCACATTTTTTTCATTGTGCATTCCAATTAATCTCAATCAAACTGCAGTTGGGTTATTTTGATTAGGTAAAAAATAACTAAAAAACACAGCTAACTAACACAATAAAACACAATAAAAACATGATAACATAACAAAAAAACATGATTTTTGAAAATTACAAAAATCGGAGTTATCTGTTTTTGCAAATAAACTCTTCATATCTACAGGTGCATCTCAATAAATTAGAATGTCGTGGAAAAGTAGATTTATTTCTATGCAGACTACATGTTCACCCAGGCTGGGATTCCAGCTGCCAAGATTCCATACGCTACAGTGGGAACTGGAGCTTGTGAGTGCATCACCGCACTGACATGTGTAAGTCTGGAATTTGTCATTATACCTGCACAAATTAATTTATCTCAGAATGCATGACACGGAGCATAGAAATAAAGCAAATATTATAACGTAGGTTAATACTATAATTGGTAAGCTATAGATTATGGGCAGATTTGGCATAAAGTTGTTATGCCAATGCCTGTGACATTATTCAAATGACAAAAAGTGACTTTATTCAGCTTCAGTCAGTTCAGTGTTGATGCAGATTCAGTCCTGTAACTGTGTAAAGTTAATCAATTATGAAGCAAGTTCAGTTCAGCTGTAGGCAGCTCTACAGAAGACAGTAATGTCATTATTCAGCCTGAGTCAGTTCACAGTTGATTCAAACTGATGTTGTGTGTTCCAGGGTCTTCTGATTGAATCTTTGGGAAGAAGAGCTCTGATTATAGGTGGATACTCTCTCATGAGCGTGTGCTGTGTCTGTTTCACCATCGCCCTCACTTTTCAGGTCTAGTGACCTAATACCTGCTGTTTTATTTCCCCCGCAATATTCATTTTGTGCACTGTGCCAATATTCTATTATCATATGTCGCTGTATAAACTAGAATCATACTTATATGGTTATGTTGAAACATGGCCTACAGTTTGTGATCTTAATTTTCAAACATTTGAATGTATGCAGATTTAATGATGTTTGTTTGGTGTTTCTCCTCACAGGAGTCCAGCCCTTGGGTTCCCTACCTTAGTATGATTTGTGTTTTTGCCTTCATTCTCAGTTTTGGCCTTGGACCAGGTGAATGAATGAGTAAAAAAAGAAAGAAAGCAAAGGAAGATTACAGTGCATGAATGTTTTACCATTAAAGGAATAGATCACTCAAAAATGAAAATTGGTTGAAAATGTGCTCACCCTCAGGCCAGCCAAGATGAGTTTGTTTCTTCATTGGAACAGATGTGGAGAATTTTAGCATTACATCAGTTGCTCACCAGTGGATGCTCTGCAGTGAATGGGTGCCGTCAGAATGAGAGTCCAAACAGCTGATAAAAACCACTATAATCCACACCACTCCAGTCCATCAATTAACATCGTGTGAAGCAAAAAGCTGCACATTTGTAAGAAACAAACCCATCATTAAGAAGTTTTTAACTTCAAAATGTAATAAAAGTCTGTATCCATAGTATTGCTTTTTCAAGTGAAAACGTCACATGAATCAGGAGAGAAATATGCACAGATCAAGCAGTTTAATCAATTAAAATGCCTTAATGATAGAGTTGTTTCTTAAAAAACAAGCAGTTGTGGATTACTTGTAGGTTTTTATCAGCTGTTTGGACTCTCATTCTGACGGCACCCATTCACTGTAGATGGTACACTGGTGAGCAAGTGATGTAATGCTAAATTTCTCCAAATCTGTTCTGATGAAGAAACACATTTTTGGATGCCCTGAGGGTGAGCAAATTTTCATCTTTGGGTGAACTATTCCTTTGATAAAAACTCATCTCTATCCACACTATTGTTATATTGGTACACACTGGTATAGTTTGATCAGTAATATCAATGTGCTTTGTGCTGTAGGTGGTGTGACAAACATTTTAACAACAGAGCTGTTTACCCAAACCGATCGGCCTGCTGCGTACATGATCGGTGGATCTATCAACTGGATCGCTTTCTTCTTCATTGGCATGATCTTTCCATTTATTGTGGTATATATGAGCCCGTTCTTTCCCTTTGATTGAGAGATATGGTTAGTCAGTTTTTATTACCGGTATTTAGAATTTCACAAAGCAGTTGTATTTCTACAAGATGGACCTTATTTACCGTGCAGATTCTGTAAAAAACAATCCAATGATGATATTTGTTAATTACTTATTGATGAGAGTTATTAAAACAAAGTGGAATTTAAATGTTTTGTTTTTTAACAAACTTCTCTTTCTCAATTTCTCTCAGAATGGACTAAAGCAGTACTGCTTCCTTGTTTTCCTCGTTGTCTGTTGCTTGGTGGCCACTTACATCTTCTTTGTGGTCCCTGAGACCAAGAACAAGACCTTTCTAGAGATTCAGAGTGAGTTTCACTCGAGAAAGAAGCTCATTGCTGCCAATGGTACCGAGGGCCATCTACTGTCCACACCGATGTAAAACAAATGATGCATTTACAAAGCACAGTATTTTAAAGGGCTTTATTATGTCTGTGTACTTATGTATGAATGTGCTAAAAATACCTGGAAATGTAAATCCAGAAAATATCTGTAAAATTTGTGACACAGACACTGCACTACATCATGTGCCTTCAAAATGAATACCGCCTTTTACATCAAGGAAAGTCACATGATGGTAGGGACTTTCAATAGCCTAGTATTACATCTTGTATGTGTTGTATACAAATGAAAACTACTATGCAAAAATATTACAAAGTAGCCTACTATTTTGAATCAGTGTACTAGGCTACTTGTATCTGTAATTACTTTTTATCTTTAATTCTGTAAAATGGATCCATATTATAATCTTAAGCAAGAAACATCTCATGAAATCATAGAATTAATCATACTTGAATTTATTTTAATGTGAGCAACAGTTTAAAGGAAATGTTTGCAAGACACAATTGTTTGTATCTTTCACACACAGTCAGATATTTTGTATTCTTAACATTCTCAAAGTTTGCAGATACTACAAGCACGAATCCACTGTGTGAATCAAGCTTGAATTCACTTCATTTTAAAGCCAACAAACATTTTTTTTTCAGTGTACAATGGTAGTTTTTCACAGTTCTTTTCACAGCATCTTTTATTCGTAACATCCTTAACATATTTTAAAGGTTTTCTATAAATAAATAAATAAATAAATAAATACTGTACAGGGTGCGATTTGTGAAAAAAGCAGGGCGGGGGGGGGAGGGGGGGGAGATTTTGAAAACTTTTTTTTCAGAGCAAGGCTTTAAAGTATAATGTCAGTGTAATCTGTGAACAAAGCACATCATAAACCCGTCTTTTTAAACAAGTACCAGATAATGTGTGTTATGTCACGAAATGTTTTTAATAGCCTACGACTGAAACTGTAGGCTATTTAACGTGATCACAATTTAATAAAAACATTAGGCCGATAAATTAATTTCAACGGTTATTCAAACAACGAATAAATTATATCTACCCCCTCCTACCCTGCGAATGTCGAGCCCCGGGACGCCCTCGCTGCTTAGAACAAATTAAGTGATAGAGTAAAATCTTTCCCCTGCGCTGATGGCTCGCGGGAGAGCTCGTTAATATCATTAAGCAGATGTTCAAACTCCAGTCCGAAACACCACTGGCCACGAGCTTTGGGCTCTGCTCTCACGGAGAATATTTACTTATATAGCATATTTTATTTTAGATAAACTAGAAACAATGTTTAATTTATAAAGTTTTATTTTGAAATGTAAGTCAATAACAATTGGCTGAAGCCACAGCCAATGATGAAAGTCTTTGCACGAGGAGACCCCGCCCCATTTTGGAGGTTCTGCCCACTTTTGGAGTTCACGCCCCATTTTGGAGATCTCCGGTTCTGCAGTTATACCTACTTGGGTCATCATGCAAAGAATCTGCGCAAAGGATCATGGGAGCCCGAAGTGTCCATCAGTAGTAGCCTTCGAAATCCTTCATTCCGAAGGGCCCTTTGAAGTGGCCAGTTTTGAGCACTTCGGTTTGGAACGACCCTTCAATATGGCGGCCATGATTGTTTTCACTCCGAAGTGCCCTTTGGAGGGCGATATATCCCGTTTGGAACGCACCGATATATATGCATCGCTAACTTTTTCTTCTTCTTTGACCTTTAATGGAGGTTGGCAAACCAGCTTTAGGTGCATCTTCCGCCACCTACTGGGATGGAGTGCGAGGCATGCTTCATTCATCTTTATTTTCACTATTATATTTTAACAGTATTTTATATTATATCACTCCAGTCACTGAAAGACCCACAACAACAATTGAGTCTGTTTTTTATTTACTCTATATGTTTTATTTTTAGGAAAGTCTATTGATCCCGAATGTCTTAACATTGTACCACTTTTCTTTATATATGGTTGTACAGTTTTGTGTCATTAATAATTACATTTATATTTACTGCTTTTGAAAATGTATGACATAAATAATTGTAAGCCATTCGATTAATTCCTAAAAAAAATGGCTTAGTATGTTGCACATACATTGTATTAGAAATTGCACAACCACAAGTTAATACATTGAGTAAACTGAGCAAACTGCATTGGTCAGACAGATTCATCATTGATCCCATAAAGTAAACTGCAGAAACTCTGTGACTAGCCGTGAAACATATCTTTACAGAGTGGCTTGTTTTGAACAGGGAGACAGTTTAGCTGTGAACTTCTCTCTTATTTGATAGACAACAGAGTGAGCTTCATCAAAGGAATCCGAGAGCGCTGACTGGACTTGACTCCTCCAGCTCAGCAGTTTGGGTCTGTCCTTCAGAATGTCCCTCCCACTGCACAGAGGCTGAAAGAGACAAGAGAATGTATTTTAAAGCTCTTCAGCCCTATAGCTTAGACGTCACCAAACATCTCAAGACAGGTAGGACTTCTTTATAACTGGTCTGTGGGAACATTCACAGTACGTTTAGCAGCTCTAAGCTCTCACCTGCATGAGCTCACAAACTGCTAAAAGGTCAGCCAATGAGATGTCGTCACCGCACAGGAAGGCCTGGTTCTTCAGAAACACGTTTTCCAGCTTGTCCAGTGTGCCATCCAGGTCTGCCAGCACCTTTTTAAGTTTCTCTGGATTCGCTGGATGTCCCATGCGTGGCAGTAAAACCTGTACAGGAATACAAAACCTGTGAAGTCTGCCAAAATCAGGGTCAAAAACAGGTAAATGTGGTTTAAAACGGTTATAGATGAAGAACAACATCGCTGCTTGAAATGTCATGTCAACTAACCACGTCAAACCCTACCTCGTGCAGGAAGATGGAGGAAATGTGTGTGCGCGTGTTGGCATGATTCCACGCTGTGTACTCATCCACTCGGGCTCTCTTCTCTGGCAGTTTGGGGTACCAGTGATCAGGGACATTATAGGCTGTCGCCAGATACTTCAATATGGCGTCACTGTGACACAAAACCAAAGCTTAGAAGAATATCACACATTTGATCTGTTTTTCTAGCTACACTCTCTCTTCTTACCTCTCAGTGAGAACAAATCCGTTGTCCTCTAACACTGGCAGTTTTTGCATGGGGTTGAGTTTGGCGAACTCAGGTGTTTTCTGCTGCGCTAGAGATTCAAGTTCAAGAGCATTAAAGTTGTGAAGTTCAACAAATGAAATGAAGTTTGAATTCATAAAGAGTTCTGACAACAAATATTAACACATTATTTTCAGAACAACTTTTATATAGGTCTGGATTTAAAATCATCTGGACTTTACAAATGCATTCAAAACGGCTCTCACAGCCTCCACTGAACAACACACGCACAACAATGTTGCTCACCTTTTCGTATGGCAATGTTTTCCACCGTGTGTGGTATTTTGTTGTCTTTGAGGAATATTAGTACAGCCCTGCAGGCCTGAGACACGAGATCTAAATAAGCTTTCACTGCCTGTCTGCCAGCCATAGTCAAATTAAGTGTGAGTCCTGTAGAAACAAGAAGTATTCCTGTTTGGGATGCCTCAGTCGATTCGCCCCTTTAATAGGGGACGGGCCGGAGGTGTGGTTGTGATGTGACTTCAGGTTTGATACAGGACCAGCACATCCCATTTGTTACATGCTTAAAATTGACCAAATCACAGGACGTCCCAGATGTCTTCAAATCACGGAGTACATGGAGGAAAGCCATGGGAACACAGGGAGAACAAACAAATTCACATAAATGCCTCCTGGCTCAGTTGGGATGGGGTAACCCACTGATCCAATGTGCCAGAAACAGATCTGATAACAGAAACATCAATATGGAAAAAGCTGTGAGTATGTACAGTTTGTGAAATGATTTAAGGTAGGTGTGTGTGTGTATGTGTGTGGGGAGTTTACTTAGGGTTTGACACAGGACCACAGTGTCCCATGAAGGACATTGTCTACAATTCCACCAAATTACAGGATGTCCCAGCTAGTATGACACAGTTGCCCTGCATACCATGTGTCTTTGAGAGAGAGAGAGATGAATGGGACACCATGACTGAAGCTGACTATGATATAATGTAGGATTATTAAAAAAAACAGAAAAGCTAAACTGACTCCTGGGAGTGAATTTTGAGGGGGGAACAGTTCGAATTTATTATGTTTTTAGAGGAATGAAGAAGATTTCTATATTTTATCCACTCAATACCCTGCTAAAGCTGTGCCAGTTCCACATAAATGTAGCAGGATCGTTTGTATCTGTATTTGTGCAATATTGACTTTCATATCCGGAATACATGTAGCAAATGAGAAAACAGCACGTCAGACCAAGAAGTTACTTCAGAAAAGTTAACTTAGTCTAGATACAACGACATTTGTTTTTGCCAAAAATCAGTACAAAACCGTTACTGTAACTGAACCGACTTCTCACAAATTCATATCTTCTGCTCTCAATACACTCAATGAATTCACAAATATAATGCATACAATTAAATAATGTGCCAATTCTTTTATAAATAAATACATTCTTAAATGTAGCTGTTTGTATTGATATTTTTGCGCAAGAATATCTGTAATCAAGTCTTGATTGACATGTGCAATAAGCTCTTCATCATATGTTGGGTTGCATGACTGACAGTAAAAACCATGTTTATTAATTTTTGTAGAAAATCTTACAATGTCTATTCATTCCAAATGTCATAACACTGAACCACTTTTCTGCACTACAGAAGACACTTTACAGTCTTTTTTACATTTTCTGCTTCCCTTGAGAATTTATAACCCTATGCACAAAAACATTACATTTATTCATTTAGAAAACCTTGCGTACATATTTCAAAAAGCAAAAATGACATCAACAAAACAAAACAAACAATAAATAAATAAAAATGCAAAGGCTACTTAAACCCCCGGTTTCAAATACAAGGCTTAAGCCTAGTCCCAGAGTAAAATGCAAGTCTGAGCGGTTTCAGCTGAAAGAACTTGCACTGACTGATCTTAAAATATATCAGTGCCTTTGTTTTGTCTCAAGATGCACACATGTTTATGTTTATAGAAATTACATAGATGTCCTAATTCAACTAATCCTGGCTAAGTCTAAAGCCTGTCTGCGAAACCAGGCCAACATGTTTCAGTTTAAACCACATATTAATCAAACATGACACTGCATATATCGGCCAGATGCGTCATTGATCCCGTAAGGTAAACTACATAAACATTTTGTCATGTTAATTGTGAATAGCTGTTACAGAGTGAACAGGGAGATAGTTTAGCTGTGAACTTCTCTCTTATTTGATAGACAACAGAGTGAGCTTCAGGAGTCCGAGAGCGCTGACTGGACTCGACTCCTCCAGCTCAGCAGTTTGGGTCCCTCCTGATGCACATGGGCTGAAAAATCAAACGAAACGTCTTAACGTGTTATTTTCTTACACATTTCCGAATGGATAGTCTGAAATAAATTCAAATCATTCGCTCGCCGTTCCATCGCTGTCTTACTGTAGGGACTATCCATTCGGAAATGTGTGAAAAAATAATGCGCACTTTAGTGAGCCTATTTCGCCAACAGATTCTGAGATACTACTACTTTCAGACGAATCCAGTCGGAGTTATATTAAAAATGGTCTTTGATCTTTCAAGCTGTTTAATGCCACTCAGCGGGTGTTGCAGTACATCAGTCCAAAAGA